GGTTCAAGAGAACCACTTCCAATTCTTAGCGAATTCTAGAATGGATTACAGCAAGGAGATCCTGTGAACATTAAAAAAAAAGAAAAAAGGGGGGGGGGAGAGAGAGAGAGATGAGGAATGACGGGGTAGTAAGGAGGTGAGAGAAATAAATTAATCAAGTTAGTGTCATCTCAGGTATTCAGCATGTAAAGAGGTTTTTGAGTGGTGGATCAGGCTACTGTAATTAGCACAGTTCATGAGTTTCAAGTGAGCATCTGAGAGTCTTAGAAAATAGCCTCTATGAATAAAATAACGAAGCAGCAGCTGGATGATATGCTTATTAGGGTACACTGGCAGCTGTTTAAAAATAGTTTCTGTAGTTAATAGATGAACCCCTTGGAGGAGGCCCTTTGGAGGGGGGCACACTGCCCTTGGCAAACAGTTTTATCAATGACTTCAATTTAGACACAAGAACAACTTTGGAAACACTACAAAGCCTGGATCATGGAAATCTCATAGGACAAATGTTGGAATCATGACCTAATGGGCTAAAATCAGCAAAATTTAATTTAACAAGGATAACAAGGATAAATGAAGTCCTTCACTTAGATTAAACAAAACCAAGTCCTGAATGGGGAGAAAGACCTGACTTGGCAGTGGTTTCAAAAAAAAAAAAAAGGTCTGAGATCAAATGAAATGATCTGAGAATTTAACTTAACCAAAAATTCATGAGCCAAAAATGTGATGTGACCATTTAAAGAAAACTAATACAATACTAGTTGGGATGAATATTCAAAGAAATGTAATCTCCAGAATGGTAAAAGCTAGCATCTCCCTGCACCCTGCACTGGCCAGACCACATCTGGAGCCCTGTGTTTGATCTGGGGCACTCATTTTAAGAGCGCTGATAATCAACCAGAGAGCTGATGCCCAAAAAATGCAGCCAGGAGGGTAATCCTACCCAGAAACTTAACATGATGAAAGGTGACAAGAGTCCTGTGTACAGAGCAGGAAAATGGAAAAATGAAAGAGAAATGCTAATTAGTTTCAAACATGTGAAGTATCAAATGGTTTGGGGAACATACTTATTGTTCCATTTACCCAAGCTAAGACTACCAGGTGGGATTTAGAGGGAGACCAATCCTGAGAACATAACGTCTACTGAAGAATAGTTTTTTTGCTCTGTTTGGTTTCAGATAAAGCGATGACGAGATACTGGCCCCTTCAGAGGCGACCAGTTCAGCAGACGTATTTGTAGACAATTTCCACAGGAATGCCCCCTCTCCGCCCCCCATGGCTTGGATGCTGTGTCAAATGACTTAAGACCTCTTCCTTCAGGACACCCACACTTAAACCTTTCACTTAGCCAGCAAGTTCACATGTCATAGAGCATTGTCTCCAAAAGGAGGGCTACCATGGCAAAACTTAGCTTGCTCAGTTCTTCATTAAAGCAACAGATAACTAATTTTAGAAGGGTCAGTGTGGTGGGGGGGAAGCAGGCATCACTGGAGATCTGTACTCTCCAAAACGCAAGTTTTCTTAAATACAGGTTTTTTTTTTTTTTCTGTTCTGTTTTTAAAGCGAGCTTCCTTGTTTAAAATCAAGAAATACTGGGCTGAACAAAAGTAAAGAGGTTTCCTTAGGAGCAAACGTCAGGACCTTGCATTTTAAATCCCCAAAAGAGGCAAAACGCAAGGTGCCATCCCCCAAACTTATTTGACCATTACAAGTTTAGAACACACTCTGGGAAGTGCTGTGATGGACAGAAGTTCACAGTACAGCCAAGGAGCTCACTGCGGATAGGAGGAACTGGGGTCAGGCAGGAGCACTATGGAGAACCGACACCAACTCCCAGTCTTGGAGAGGGCAGGCACATCCATTTCAAATTCTAAACTCTTTTGGTATCGGGTATAAGCAGGAAAACAGACCATTCCTTATGAAGTAAAATCCAGAAGCCTATGGAAAGAAAAGCCCTTAACACATTGGTTGAAGCATAGCTTCTATTCCCAGAGAAGACTGGTATAGCACAGCTGATGAATCATCTCCAATGTTCCACAGATACCTGCCAAGGTGTATGTTTATATTTTGTTACATTTAATAGAGGCAGATGGCCATTTCTAAAGACTGTCCACTTTTGTATAAAGGACACGATACTTACAATTTATTTCACTGGTGTTTAGAAGAAGGAAATATTCAAAATACAAATTCATGTGCCCAAACTGAAAATGCAGACAACTGAATTCATTTAAATATACAGAAGTTGAATCCCATATTGGCTAAGTGTAAAGGCATCACAACTTTTTTTTTTTTTTAATTTGTTTCTGAGAGAGCACACATGGGCAGGGGAGGGCCAGAGAGAGAAAGGGTGACAGAGGATCTGAAGCCAGATGTCAGGCTCAAACTCACGAGGCATGAGATCATGACCTGAGCTGAAGTCAGACCACTTAACTGACTGAATCATCCAGGTGCTCCAAGACATCAAAATTTAGATTTCTACTTTTGCTTTACAGGTTGAATGTCTTCTGAGTCTGCTTTTGGTATATATGATGGGCCCCAATAAATAGGAGTTAAAGAAGAAACATCATCCTGTCTTAGTTCTTAGGTATCACCACAATTTATTAGAAGCAGGGAAACAGGTCTGAAGTAGCCGGGTATAATTATGAAATAGCATGATGAAAAAGAGAGGTCATGTGTATCTATTCAGGAAAGCAAGGTTTTTAAAATGTTTAAAACCTTAAATTATACAAATTAAATAATACTTTACTCTATCAGCAAAAGCAAATAGCAAGTTACTTGTTTTTTCATAAAGAAAAACTAATTATATTCTGTTTTACTTCTATCTAGCTAAATGGCAGTGGATGCATATGTCAGTTTTATTTAACCTTCCATCTATGCATTTAACACCTCCTTAGCTGACTCAGATAAAATGTAGTCAGAGAAAATACTTCCACTTTAAAGCATTCACAAAGTAGCACTGTTTTCTTAGTGCAAATCGGCAATAATGTTATTACACATTAAATGCATGTACCAAAAAAAAAAAAATCAATAAATAGACATGCCATATTCTTTTGTGGAACTTACAGTTTAGTTTTATAGCCTTTTCCATTAAAATCTGTAAGGGATGTTTTTTATTCCTGATAAAAGTACTATACTTTTCATCTGGATAAAATATCACAGAAGGAATTTGAGAAACACTATTAAAGGTGTCTTAACCACCCCGGGAAGGTATTAAGTACAGTTAATTTTTATAAAATAGTTATTCAAAAAGCTGTAATAGTGTCTTACAAGGGCAGGAAGAAATAGATGAAAAAACTTCTAAAAACGAAATCAAATCTTCATGAAAATAGGCATTATAAGACACTAGGAAATAACAGATGTATATTTTAAAATTACATGAAAATAGGGGAGTCTGGGTGGCTCAGTCAGTTAAGCGTCTGACTCTTGATCCCCGCATAGGTCATGGGATTGAGCCCCATGTTGGGCTCTGTAACAGCACAGAGCCTGCTTGGGATTCTCATTCTCTCTCTCTCACCCTCCCTTACTGACACATATGCATGTGCTCTCAAAATAAACATTTTTAATAAATAAAATACATGAAAACAGTGAAGTTGCTGGAAGAAGAAAATCTACTAAATATTTAATTTGGAGATAGGAAAATACTTCAAGTATGAAAGTAGAAGAAACTAAAGTGAAAAATCCATACACTTGACTAAATAAGTTAGTTTAAACCCTTTAATGTGAAAAACCACCATAAATTAACAAAAATAAAAGCAAGGTAATATATTTAACATGCAAAATGGTTAATGTCCTTAACATACCAATGGCCCTTACGAATCAATATGAGTCAACCAAAATGGTCAAAGGACAATTCCAGAGAAAGAGATAAAAACACTTGTGAAAAAAATGTAATCTCAACAATGACCAAAGAAGGGAACATTAACAAAATCCTTTTCTAGAATTTTCCGAATTGGTAACTTTTAAAAAAATTAATAGTGTCCTGAAGCTTATAAGAGACATGTAAAATTGGTACAAACTTAAAAAAAATCATTTTTAAAACACATAAACATCCTTTGATTCAATACCTTACCTCAAAAAAAAAATCTGTCTTAAAGAAATAGAGATGATTGCTCAAAAATGTTTAAGATAGTACATTTTTGCTAAACGTGAAAACTTGGAAATAGCCTGAGGATCCAGCAGTCGGTATTTTATTAAATAAATTTTAAATCATGACACATGTTTAAGAACTACACTAGGCAGACATGAATAATTTTGTTATGAAAACCATTTAATGTTATGGGAAAATATTCACCTCATAAATAAATAAAAAGGTATGCTATAAATGCTAGCATTCCAAATGATTAAGATGAAGAAAATACGTGTATTAAGGAAACTGGAGATGGAAACTAAATTATCAATGGTTATCACTGAGTAGACAAACTGTATCTTGTTTTCCTTGTGCTTTTCTGTACTTTCAAAGTTTTACAACATGTACACTTTTAAGAAAAAAGTTATAAAAGTTTACAGTGCATTAAACATTATGAAAAGTATATCACACTTATTCTTTCACAGTTAACGCCACTTCTAGGAACTTACCCTAAGGACGTAATCAAAGATGCAAAAACATTTACATAAAAGGATGTTTATCAAAATGTTATTTATAATACAAAAATGTTGGCAATAATAGGGAACTTTTAAATAAAGGTGGGCCATGTGATCAACTCTTGGGGGGCCATGGAAAACGCTACTGAAGAATCTTCATGTTAGAGAAAACAATTTAAGGTTGCTAAAAACAGGATATAAGAGAGTATAACAAACTTCAGGTGCTATGTAGTTCTAACTTTAGGACCATATATGCATGATAAATACAGAGAAAAGAAGAAAGCAAAATAAAACTATGTTAATAGTGTTTATCTGGAATTTAAGTACTTTGCTCTGCCTTATGTGTTTTTTTCATTGAAAATGTATTGCTTTTATAATTAATTATAGCTCCAAAAATTGTATAAATTTTTAAGTTTACATACTTGGTTGCTCCATCATCATATGTTCCCATTAAGACTATTGTTCCGTCTTGTATGGACTTCAGAAACTCAATAAATGGGGCCACATCTGAAGAAAAAGAAAGGATTGATGGTTTTCTGGTTTTTTTCAGTGACTAAGTAGTCATCAAGATAATCTCCTTAAAGTTAATAAACTAAAACATGAAGTATTTTAAATCAATAATTTCAAATATAGAATAACCAAAAGGTAAATAAATCTTATGAACAAGTTAAAAATGAATCTTGTGCCTTAATAGGATCCCACCATCAACTCAGAATTTCCCAATCCTGATTCATCTTATGTGTCTTTTGTGCTGACATTCCAGGGGCTAAATGAAAAAACCATAGCAAAGTCATAATAAAGCATGACTTCTAATTTAAAGGAAGAAACTTCGGGGGAAGACAGAAGAAAGGCTCAGGGATTCCCTGAGTACATGTAAAATTGTATGGGTACTTATCTGAAAGGAGGGCACAAAGCTTTTATCTAATCATAAAAAGCTCTGTTATTTCTTAAAAAACCAAATACATACGCGCACGCACATGCGCGCGCGCACACACACACACACTTGATTTAAGGGATCCTCTGAACATATCTAATTACCATAGACTTGCAAGAGGAATAAGGCTGTACCTAGTTATGGCAAATACAGTCTTTACCTGCTTCGTCTAGTGCACCAAGATTCACAAAAACTTAAATCATTTAGGTGACTACAAACTGGTCAGAGGTAGATCAGGTAATACCAATCATTTTATATCTTGAACTTTCCAATATCAGGTCTCTGTGCAGTCCCCAAACCTACCACTACTTCAGAACTGGGACACTTCAAACTTACTCAGTTTCTTTCTATACCAGATTCCAAAGATGGCCTCTAGCTGCATTCTTTTTATAATAATGGCATTTTCAATTCTGAGAAAATGTAACAGAGCAGCTAACAAATCACTTCCTTTTAAATGCAAAGATGGAAGTAAACTGCACCTATTTCTTCACTTGAAGAGTCTTTTTGGCAGTAATTAATCTACCATCTACCGTGATGATATTTCAGATCTTCAACAAAGGTTTTGGAAGGGGGTTTCCTGTAATAAGTTTTGTCATGAGAATATAAAATTGATGGTAGCATTTTAAGTTTACACCATTTTGACAGCTATGAAAAGTCCTAATCTCATTAAAAAAAAAGAAAAACAGCATCTCATTACAAGCTGAAGAAATATTAGAAAAGCTGAATGGTTTGAAAACCTAACATAAATTTCAAGAAGACTAACAGCTCTTGGCTTCTGGGGAATCTATAAAGGAAATGGAAATGAGGAGACGCCAGGGACAGCCTCATGCTGATATATATCTCAAACTAACAAGTCAGAAAAGAATCAAAAGATAAATCGGTATTGTTCTTCCATCAGATCTGAGGAAAAAATGTCTTTGGGGCACGTTCTTGTTCAAGGTTCTAGTTCCTTCTTCTGCATTCTGGTAAGTACACCTGTTTCTTGAGGAACTTCCACATTAGGGGGATACTCGTAAATTACTCTAAGTGCAAGTAACTATAAAGAACACTCTATTCTTTCCCTCAAATATTCATCTACTTTAATAATCATCCTGGTTACAGTTTATTTTGAAGACTAAAAAATATGCAAAAAATCAATTTTAAGTAAAAATGCTTAAATTGCTTCTGCTCTTATCTAAATTATTTCTTCTGTTTTAAAAATTTCAGACAGAAACCTAAAGGAGCCAAAGCTTTCAATCAGTTGTGCTACAGAAAGTAGGATTCGGATTTTTAAAATCTCAATCTTTATATTATTACTTCTAATTACACATATAGTTTCAGTAAAAAAAAAAAAAAAAAAGCAAAGTATATGCAATATGACTGATTACTTAAACACAGCTGGACATTTAGTGAAAAGTAAGAGAAAATGTGTGAACACAAAAATACCATTATTCTCTCAGTAATGGGCTGCATTATATTGAAGAGGCTTAAAAAGTCAGTGTTAGCAACAGAACAGTTACATGTTATTTACACTTACCTCCTCCCCACATGTCAAAATATTTGGTGTCTAATACTTCTCCTGTTTTTCCTGAAAGAGATGGAAATCAAATCAAATTATGCAATTAACATATACTCTACACTGTATAGGACAAACAATCTTACCCAATGATGGGTGTGAATTCATTTACAAAGAAAGAGTTCTTTTGAAAAGACTTAAAATCTGAACTGTGTGCATCTGAAATATATTTCTAAAAAAGTAATTTTTGGGTAAATTAAAATTTTGGACTTTCTCAATCTTTAAGCCAAGGAGCAGCAACTGAAGTTCACTAGGGGCTATATAGACCACTCAAATTCGGTTCAATATTTTTCGCTCTTATGTGTTACCACTTTCCTTATTTAAGAATTACCAAATTTACAAAAAAGATGAATTGATACTGTTTTCTACCATTAAAGCCATCTTTTAAATTTTTTTCACTTATTTCCTTTTTAAAATATATATATATGTATATATTTGCTATCAGCTAGACAAACAGGTATAGGGCCTTTTACTAACAAACTAAAGAAAGTAGAAATGCAGAAACTTATCTTTTGTTGTGAAAGAAGTAAAAAGTATTTTCCTATACTATGAACTGGGTAAGGTGGTTATGGTCACTAATCATCTCATACGGCCTTACAGGGTTATTGTACCAGGAAGAAAAGACAAGCATGCAATTAGGCCTTATTTCGTGGGTTCATTTTTCAGATTTGATTTTGTAAGAATACTTGAGATGCTCAGGATTTGGTGAACTTACTTTCACTAATGAACTTACATGATGAATGTGGATAATACTGAAAAGTTACAACTAATTTTTACTCTTCATTCCTCTCCCCACCCCTTCCATTAGTCCATCACCCTCTGTCATTCGCACACCCTCATCATGGCAATCTATCTTCAAATTGTTAGATTCCACACTCCTCAGCATTCATCAAAGTTAATGTTAGATTGGTTTTACCCTGATAATCTCCCAGCAAGCTCTCTACACACTGCACAGCAAGCGGGAGAAAGAAAGCATGTGATAGTACTTGGACACCAAGTCTCCTACAGGCAGCTTTTGGACACGAGGGTGGAAGGAGGGCTTTAGGGTCAAGTGTAGCACTTTTTGACCCAATCCCTTGATATTAAAGTGCATTTTACTTTGGGCTGCAGGAATATCCACTGACCACATCTGTAAGCTAAAATAATTATTCTTGCATTTCTGTATCAGTAAGGAAGGATGCTGGGTTTGAGGCTGGTGTTGAGGAGAATAACTTCCATGACTTCCGGTGCTTTGATGAAACCTCAGATGCGAGGCCTCCTGGCCAAAGGCCAGAGATTTCACATTGTTGGAGTGTTCGCTGTGTCCTGGGGGTTGCAGCTTTCTATAAGTTTGCTGTGGCCGAACCAAGAAAGAAGGCATATGCAGATTTCTACAGAAATTAGGATTCCATGAAAGATTTTGAGGAGATGAAGAAGGCTGCTATCTTTCAGAGTGCAAAGTGATTTTGGAGTGTAAAGAATTTCTTTGGGTTGAGTTCCATGGAAGTTTGTCACTGACCTGTGTTCCTGAACTACAAAACATGAATATTGGGTTATGGAATAGTTTCTCTTGATAAATAAACTAACAGATACTGTGGACAGTAAAAAATAAAATAAAATAATTATTCTTACCATTTGCCAAGGCAACATTGATCCCTCTTCCAACGTTATTCTTAACACCACTCATTAAACTGAAGGAGGAAAGTCAAGAAAAATTTACAATTAGATATTGTACATAAATCTAGATCAGAGAAATAAAGCCATGCCAAAAAAGAGTTGGGGATATTATATACATGCACAGTTGTTTAAGAATTGCAGTGGAGATTAAGATGTCTCTAATACATCAGAGAAGACAGTCTAATTTTAAATAATTTTAAAGCAATGTCCTTAAATAAGAATTCACAAATAGATATATTATAAGCATCAGGGCCCAAATACTAGACTATTTTTTGCTGCTCCTTTGTGTTATGAAATAGTATTTTAGAAAATCTTTAAAACATGTTGACATTACACACATCCTCAATGGACCAAATAATTGATAATCTTTTCTACTTTTTGCAATGTCAATGTGACATGAAATCGAAGTGAGGTGCTTTTATAATCTGAAAGCCAGAAGAGTTTCACCTCCTTCACCCAATAATTGTGAACATCCTCTTAGTGATTATCAATGTAAAATTTCTCTATACTCAGAAGAAGAAATCTTGTATTCATTTAATTACTGCATCTAACCACACCTACTTGTACTGTTATAGCTAAGGTAATCAGCATCCACTGGCAGGTTACAGACCACCATGCTACTGTGAAATGGAAGGTATGAGTGGAATACTCGCTTGTGTCGGTTCAGTTTGCTGAATCAGAATTATTACACTAAAATTCTAGGTATCTTTAATTCTAAAAATTCAAGGTACTAGTAATACTGCCTGTGGTGTGCTAATCAATGATTAACAATTGGTTTGCGGTTGGTGTAGAGGGGGAAGTATGTGTGTATATGGGAATACACAGACACACACACTCATATATGGTACATCGATATACACACAGGTGCATATGTTTATTATAAACTCTACGGATATAAAAGATTTGTACCACACAATTTCACAAGTAAGAAAAGCTATAATACTCTGTTATGTATCCCGCATAACTAAATGATTCTCACAGAATGTGTTGATTTTCATAGAACTCGTATCTGTAGCTAACCTATGGTTGCAAGTAATAGATAAATGCAGTTCTAACACAAACGTTGGATGATATTTCATTTGAAGAGTGAGACAAAGGAAAAACACATGGTTGAAGATATATGCTAGAACTTCACTCACCTGTTAATGAGGTGAGTGATGTTTTTTGTTGAAGCATGTATTAAGTTTTAAATAGTAGAAGACAACGTAATTTTTTGTGCTATTCACAACGTAACAGTTACTGACATAATATACTTTTAATCTGCACAGTTAACATTCTCCTCCTCTTTCTTAAGTCTAGACCTTGAGTCAGCAAACTTCTTCTATCAGGAATCAGATAAGTAAATAGTACGAACCACCACTAAAAAAGCTATACAGAGATATACTCAAAAACACTATAAATATATCAAAAAGAAATTCTAAAAAATTTTCATGGAACTCATAGGAAGCCAGTAAAAGAACACAGAAATAAATAACCCAGAGAGAACAAAAATTATAAGATGGCAGGCTTAAGTCCTAACATTTCAATAATCATAATAAATGTAAGTAGTTTAAGCATATCAAATAAAGACAGAAATTGACACAGTGGATTAAAATAGGACCTAACTACATGGTGTCTACAAGAAATTCTTTCTTTTATTGAGGTAAATTAGTATATAGGTATACTGAAGTATATTTTTAATTGACAAAAATTGTATTTAAGTATACGATTTGATATACATTGTGAGATAATTACGTCAAGCTCATTACCTATTTATCACCTTCATTACCACTTGTGTGTGTATGGCGAGAACACTTAAGAGCTACCCTCTTAGCAAATTTTAAGCAAACAATAAAGTACTATAATATAGTCACATCATTGTATATTACATTGCAAGAACGTTATCATCTTGCATAACTGAAACTTTGTACCCAGTGACCAACATCTCCCCATTTACTCTTCCTCCAAGTCCCTGGTATCCACTACTCTACTCTGTGCTTCTATGAATGTGACTGCTTTAGATTCCACATAAGTGAGATCAGGCAGTATTTGTCTTTCTGCATGTGGCTTACTTCACTTAGCATAATGTCCTCCAGGTCCATCCATGTTGTCACAGATGACAGTCTTTTCTTCTTTTATTTGGCTCAATAATATTCCATTGCATATATATATACACCACATTTTCTGTATCCATTCATCCACTGATGGATATTTAGACTGTTTCCATCTTACCTACTGTGAATAATGCTGTGGTGAACATAACAGTGGGCATTTGTTTGAGATCCTGTTTTTAATTCCTTTGGACATACATCCAGAAGTGGGATTATTAGATAAGACAGTTCTATCTTTAATTTTTTTAATAACCTCCACCCTGTTTTCTATAATGGCTGTATCAATTTACATGCCCACCTACAGTATACAAAGGCTCCTTTTTCTTCACATCTTCATCAACACTTGATGTCATTCTGATGACTGCCACTCTACCAGTTGTGAGGTGATTAACTCATTGTGGTTTTGATTCTCATTTCCCTGATGATTAGTGACACTGAGTACCTCTCTTCATATACCTGTTGGCTATTTGTATCCTTTTGAGAAGTACCTATTTAGGCCTTTCACTCATTATTTGATCAGTATTTGTTTTTTTGCTAGTAAGTTGTGTAAGTTCCTAAAATATCTTAGATATTAACCGCCTAGCAGATATATGGATTGCAAATTTTTTCCCCATTCTGTAGGCTGACTTTCTGTTCTCGTTTCCTTTGTTGTTCAGAAGCTTTTTAGTTTGATATAGTCCTATTTGCCTATTTTTGCTTTTGCTGCCTAGGTGTTTGGTGTTTTATCCAAAAAACGCATTGCCCAGACCAATATCACAAAGCTTTTCCCTAGATTTTCTTCTAGTAGTTTTATGGTTTTGGGTCAAAAGGCTCACTTTAAATATAACGATACAGGCAGGTGAAAACTAAAAGGGTAGAAAGAGATAAATCACGTAAACAATCACATTACTACTCAATAATAAAGAAATAATCCAATTTTAAAATGGGCAGGGTTTGACCAGACACCTCTCCAAAGATACACAAATGGCCAACAAACAAATGAGAAGATATTAAAGATCATTAACCATTAGTGAAATGCAAATTGAAACTACAAGGTATCACTCAACACTCATTAGGATCGGTGTAATCAATAAGTTAGATAATGACAAATGTATTGTAAAAACTGGAACCCTTATAACACTGCTGTCAAAAAGTTAATTAGTGCAGCAACTTTGGAAAATACTCTAGCAGCTCCTCCAAAAGTTAAATATAGAATTACTATATGAACTAAAATCTACTCCTAAGCATATATACAAGAAAAATGAAAACATGTCCACACAAAACCTGTATACAAATGTTTATAGAGCCATTATTCATTGGATAAAGAAGATGTGGTATATATATATATAATGGAATATTACTCAGCCATCAAAAAAGAAGGAAATTTTGACATTTTCGATAATATGGATGGAGCCAGAATATATTACGTTAAGCGAAATAAATCAAAGAAAAATACCATATGTTTCCACTCATATGTGGAATTTAAAAAACAAAACAGATGAACATATGGGAAGGGGGAGAAAAAAGGAATGAGAGAAACAAACCATAAGAAACTCTTAATGATAAAGAACAAACTGAGGGATGCTGGAGGGGAGGTGGGTGGGGGGATGAGCTGACGGGTATTAAGGGGGGCAACTGTTAGTGATTAGTACTGGGTATTCTAAGTACTGATGAATTACTAAATTCTACTCCTGAAACCAATACTGTACTGTATGTTAACTAAACTTTAAATAAATTATTTTAAAAAGAAGTTTTATTCATAATAGCCAAAAAGTGGAAACAAACCAAACGTCCATCAACTGACGAATGAACAAACAAAATGTGATATATCTACAACGAGAGAATTACTCCATCATAAAAAGAAATGAAGTACTGATACATGCCACAACATGGATGAACCTTGAAAACACTGCTGAGTGAGGACACTGATGACAAAAAAAGTTACATATCATATAAACCCTTCTATGTAATATGTCCAGAAGAGGTAAATCTACAGAGACAGAAACCAAAATGTAGTTGCTTAGGGCTGGTTGTGGGGCAGGGGAGAACGGAGTAGAAAGGGATGGGAATGGGATAGAAGGGCAATGGCTAAAGGACACAATTTCTTCTGGAGGTTAAAAATGTTCTAGGGGTGCTGGGTGGCTCAGCTGGTTAAGTGTCTGACTTGGGTTCAGGTCATGACCTCATGGTTTGTGAGTTCGAGCCCTGCTTCAGAGCCTCCGTATCCCTCTCTCTGTCCCTCCCTAGGCTCATGCATGCATGTTCCCCTCACCCCCCCCAAAACAAAACTGACTGTAGAGATGATTGCATGTATCTGTGCACACTAAAAATCACTGACTGTATACCTTAAATGAATGAATCGTATAGCATGGGAGTTATATCTCAATAAAGCTGTTTAAACAAAGGAAAGCAGTAGTGGCTATATTATCACCAATTAAATAGACTTCGAGGCAAAGAAAATTATCAGAGACAGAGTGAGAGAGATTACATAATGATCACAGGGTCACTTTAGCAAGACACAGTAAACCTTAATGTGTATATGGCAAGCAACTGAGGTGCATACTATGTGACTCAAAACCAGACAGAATGGACAAGAGAAAGAGACAAAGGTACAGTCTCTCAACAACTGACAGGCAGAAAATTACCAAAGGTACAAAAGAACTCAACCACAGCATTAACCAACAGGGTCTGATTGACATTTATAGAACATTCTACCCAACTAGAGCAGAATACACATTGTTTTCAAGTGTCCATGGAACATATATTAAAGGTAGACCATATCATGGGCCACAAAATAAACCTCAATATTTTTAAAAGAACTGAAATCACAAAAAGTGTGTTCTCCAACCACAATGAAATCAGTAACAGTGATAACAGGAAAACTTCCAACACTTGGAAACTAAACAACATAGTTCTCAATAATCCATGGGTCAAAGAGGAAGTCT